CTAAATGGGTATTCTTCAAGCAACCAGCATTTGGATCCTTTCTTGGTCTTTGGTTTGGTCTCGACTTATTAGAGGTTTTGATTGAGTTGGAGAATATTGAGCTCAAAAAAGCCTTGGTGATCTCTCATTCCACATCAACATTGTCAAAATGGTACTTTTAAAATAACTTATAAGCTCAGCCAAACATTAATATGGCAGCATTTAATGAACACTTTCTCTAGCTTGGTTTGTTGGGGGAATTTGGGAAAGTAAGGATCATGCGAAGGAAGAAAACGACTCAAAATAATTTTGAGAATTTGGGGAGGAATATGCAGAGGTATAAATTAAGGCCCCGTCTGGTTTTGCTAAAAATTATATTTATACAGATTTTGATAAAAATATATAAAAGTTGTGAGTCTCATAAAATATATGGTTAAATTTTTTTGTTGAATTTGATTTAATGTTTTTTAACTAAACCAGAAATTGCGTACACACACACACTAAGCATCGATGCTCATATTATATTAAGCATTGCTGACGTGTTATACCTATAAATTAAGTGGTATGCACAAAATGGAGGGGTCCCATATATGTTGACGTGGCATCTACTATTCAATTGATTAAGTTATTTAATTAAACAACTTCATATTGGGCTTGGCCTCGATCCATTAACCACTTGGCCCATTTTCATTTTTCTATGACTTCACTTCACAAAAGGTAAGAATTTCTGGCTCTGACCAAACCCTCTATATCGTTTCTTGCACTTACTTATTTCTTGTTCAATCGTTGACTTAACTATCGAAGTGTAAATGCTCATTAGATCTTTTTCTCAACCGATGACATTTACCTCTTAACAGAGTGTTTCAATGTGTAGGTGACATCCACGTGAAGGAGATGTGGTTGAAATTCTGTTGACGCAACTTTTGAGGTTAGTCGATTGGTGTTGTTCGTGAAAAATGGTATGTTAACCATGTTTTCACCATATCCAAAAAAGGCATCGGGGACAGAAAATGTTTGAGGTAGTTTTCTACTAGAAACCAAAAGTCAGACACCAAAAAGGAAGAAAAATATTTTCTAAATCTAAAAATATCCTTGCAAAAAGGAAACATTCTTGCAAAGGGTCGAAGAAACCTGGATTGTAAAATCTACCATGAAAAGTGGCTATAGCTGATCAATGATTGAAGAAACTCCTCATAAGAATGCTCAAAAAAATTGGGATTTATTGAAGAAAAAATTTACCAGTTGGTTTAATAAAAAAATGTCCAATTTGCTCCCCATGTTGTTGGCAACATTCGTCAATTTTTTCGAACATGTCACATGTTGTAATGTGACCCAAATTCTAGTGAGTATTAGATTCCTAGTCTAAGTGGTCTTAAAGAGATCAAAATTATAGATCGAGAAGAAAAGTCACGGCATTTTTGCTAGCTTGCTACTAGCTGGCCGTTGGAGCGGCGCCTACAGATTTTCTACAGAGACTTGTCACCCGCCTAGCGCTCAAGCAACGGGATTATCCCGCCCAGGCCCATTTCGCGTTTCGACGTGTTTTTTTAACTTCTATTCACCTACAACTTGATTATATATATATATATATATTGTTCCCAAACATTCATTGAGAGCTTTAAATCTTAGTTAAGAGCATTGAGATCTTATTGTAAACACAAGTACTATTGATTATATTAGATTTCTCCTTCTCTACCTGTGATTTTTCCCGTCTTGAGTTTTCACATAAATTTTGATGATCATATTTTGTTCTAACTTATTTCATTATTGTGATTATTTTGTGATCAATTCATAACACGACATCAAAATGACATTACAAAACTAGCCTTCTGATTCTGCATTGGCTAATTCTGCCACAATTGATAACTTCATAGTAGGTATAAAAGATTAGCTCCATAAGTAACAGAAGTTTATAAATTTTCCAGAAACATGGGTGTTTTGGTGTTGATAGAATCTCAAGCCTACATTTCTGTAAGAGTTGTGTAACTTGTGTTCTAGAGAAACGGCATAGAGTTCAGTTTTAAAGTGGCTTAAATCATCCTCCATTTTAGAGTATGTGTTGTGACTCCCCGAATTTTTCTTACTATTTTTCTTATGGGCCTAAATTTAATATAGGTCACTTAGCAAATGAAATAATTCATGTTTAGATTTGTCGTCACATTAAAAGTACAAAGGTTGATGATTCATTTTGCTTATGCGTACTTAGAATTTATCATAAATCTTATTTGGGTTGAATATTTACATATTTTAAAAGTTGATAAAAAAATATTGATATTATACTCATTTTGTAGCTCGTGCTAAATAACATAAATTGGCTCAAGAAGAAATAATTTTGGATCAGCCATATTCGAGTTATCTTGATAGAAAGAAAATTACTCTAATCCTATATTTTATTAATAAAGAAAAAGCCGCCTTAATAAAATAAGAAGTAGCTAGAATCACTCGCTGCACACCCTTGAATTCTAACATATATATAATAGTAAAATGAAGAATAAGACATTTCTTGAGAATTGGAAAACATAAAGTCAATCATTTATTTATTTATTTATTTATTTGTAATCAATATAATATACCTTTTCAAATTTTATAGAACCGTCCCATCAATGAATACTAATTTCCACACTTAACATGATTGATTTGAAATACAAAAATAGGTTAATTAACATATTGAATTCACCCTAACGTGTGATGATTTGCATTCTTAGTTAATGGTAAGTGAAATATATATATATATAACTTTATGTTAAATCCTTCGTGATGAACCAATAGGTCAAAGATATTAAATCCTACGGGACATGGGGATTCTTAATAAATTCATTGAGTTCTAAATCTAAGAAATGTTGATATGTTATGTCAGTTTTATATTTATATTATGCGAATAAAAATGTGTACGTAGTCTTACTGATTGTTCTCAAAATACTCACTCTTACAATACCTTTCAGATGAGAACGAGTCATTTGGACGCGTGAAAAATTGATCGAGTGATGCTTATGGGGTCATCAAGCAAATTTTCTAGAAAAGATAATTGTCAAACTTTTATTTAAAGAACATCTTCATATTAAATTTTGTGCATATTTTTTAATAGCTATTTTTATGCATTTTCAGCACTTAGTGAAAGTGATATTTCCGCTTAAATTAGATAAAGAAAATGTTGGTAATACCTCGAGCTATTTTTATGGAAGAATAAAATAATGAAAATGAAAAAGATCTCGAGGCGTTACACGTGCACTCAAATTTGTGGGAGTCCATCTAACAAATCTACTTGAGGAAAGACATATTTCTTGTCCATTATTGAAAGGGCAAGTATTAAGATTTGGGTGACGTGTGCAAAAATATAAGATAGTGCACCGTATAATTGGATACAGAATGAATATAAAAGGAATAAATTCAGTTAGTCATGCTTAAAAATAGGGGGTGAAGAGACAGATTGATGTGTCAGAAAATAATTGAGTGTGTTTTTGTTTTAATTTTTCAAACTGTCCGTGTGTCCCATCTAGATTTGAGCTTGGATTTAAACTTGGATGTATAACGTGATTGATATAAAAGTTAGAAGAGAAACAGTCAGAAAAATTATCTTTAGGATCCTTTTCTAATGAAATATCTCTTGCATGGCTCATTCATCACTAACAAATCAAGATTATTCCAAGTTCTTGGATCATAGATGTTAGATAGGTGGATCTATTATCAATTACATTATTTTCATTCTTCGTTTGTATCATTTTCGTAAAATGATAAGTAGATAAATCTTCCATTTCAAGTTCCAAATGCATAGTTCAACTTTTATACTTCTTTAATAATGAGTATATCGAAAGCAGTTTTTGAGAGCTTATGCACCACCAACCAGACAAAAACATAGAGAAATTCAATAATATCAAATAATCGACGATTATTACACTTTTAACAACTAAGTCTCTAAACAAACAGTCTAGATGACAGACTAATTAATTACCATACGTCCATTCATTGAAGGACTAACAAAATTGAAGTAAACATATTCATCATCCATGGTATAACCATTAAATCAAGGAATTATTCCTTACCACTATTAATATATATGATATGGAGAGAAGAGGAGTCAAACATCCTTTTTAACTGCCTTTTTATAGGTATCCAAACTTCCAATTTTTCAAAGTCGACATTCGAACTTCTAAATATGTTATCATCCATATTTAAGTTAAGCAATTATTTCTTATAGGTACCCAACCCTTCAATTTTCTTAATCCATACCTGAACTTTCAAATATGAATTCTGTCCATACCTAATTTCACAAATGGTGTATGAGTCCAACAGTGACGAGAGCGCATGAAGTGCAGTTATTAACTCTGCATTATGTTGCACATCTTTGGACCCTGTGACTTTATTTTTAATGTGTGTTATGCTTTAATTTGTTATCAATAAATAAAATATATCACCTGAAGGTTTAATTATAATAATAAAATTAAAAACTAATTTGAATAGCAGTAGACAACTCAAACAGTTCGATTATACATGGCAAATGACGGCATTAATGATTTAGCCGAAAAAAGGCATTAGACGAATCCCTTCCTCTTTTAGGCTTGCTTCTTAAGTCAAATAAGTCATGTACCTGATTGTTAGGTGCAATTAGTTTGTCCCTTACCTATCCATTCAAGCCTTTCCGTATCTCTTCTAAATTTTGCTAGGTTAACAGGGTAGTCTGGGTAGACTCCTATCAACACTCACACCAGGTGGGTCCCGTTGTATAAAAATTACCAAAAACCCCACCCACGCCCCGATGCTGTGAGTATTCGGTACTGGTTCTTACCCTATGCATGAAGCATGTATCTATCTCTTCGGGCCAATCTTTTTTCGTAATCTTCTCTATCGAGAATTGGTCTGTCCCAACTGTCCTGTGGAAAACAGTGCCCCCAACTCTACAAATCACATTCATTAATCATGTAAAGAATAAAACCCTGAGTTCACGAATCTGTTTTCCCTTTAATGCTTCATGCTTAATGGATTTTCAATGTGCTTTGTATAATCATTTCAACAGTAGTCCAATCTAACATAAATGCAGGACTCGAATTTGGAAAATTGATGTTGTATCAAGTCACAATGTGGCTCAAATTCTCACTGCTTAGAGCCAAGTGAGGACTCAATGTAACAATATCCTTTTTCATAGAACGTTTACATAACATCATCAAATCGCCTCGGTGGGAGTTTTCAGGAGAGCTTTGCATGACAAGCAGTGCAGACAAATCCAGAAGAGCCAGAAAATTTGCAACAGCCCTGATGGGCATGTTGGTTGCAATATGGCTTGTTACAGAAATTGCATTCCGGGAGCTGCAGCCAACACTCTAAGCACAACGCGTCTGCAAAAGCTGCCTCTGCGAGTTCTTGACCAGTAATACAAATGCCACACTCTTCACACCTTGGAATGCAGTTGTCGCATCCCCTACATTCAATTGTCCAATGCTGCTGCTTCCTCGGACAGAAATCTCCAGGGCAATCGAAAACCATTCGTACTGAAGAACACTTGGGACAAACATCTACATCTATGGAGCGATCAATTTCTTCATGTCCAAGGCTTGAGCATTTCTTGTGCTCATGATATAAGATCTTCCCTTTCTTCTGTTGTGTTCGGTCCAAATCCATTAAATTGTGAAGCGTTTCAAGGTCTTCTTTTTTCATGTTGTTGATGCCATTGATTTTTATACTCTTTAGGCTGTGATTGTTTTTTGTTAGCAACTTCACTGCTTCGATCAATCCCTCCGGTGTTATGCTTGTGCAGCCTGGAGTATAGAGCTGCAAAGGAAAGATAAAGATCAAAAATGTTAATTTTACAAGGGCATGCTTGGGTAAAAAAAAAAAAACCACTAATCACCCAACTTATACCTTAATTGTTCAACTTTTTTTGTGAAATCTATTAACGCAAATGACGACGTAACATGAAAATTTTTGTTAGTGCATTACTTTTATCATTCAACTAAGTAAATACACATCTCTTTGGACTATGCTAGCTTTCTTTTTATTTTTCTTTCTGTTCTTTTAATTTTTATTTTTAATCTCTTTTGAAAAACGCATTATGAGAACTTGACTTGTTCAATAATAAATATTTTTGCCTAGCTAGACGATGAAACTAATTCACCAAAAGAATTACAGTGCTACATCTTTTTCTTTTTTATAATTTAGATGTTTGCATTTCGTTTGATTTAGCAGGAGGAAGTGTTTGAAGGGAAACAAAATGTAAGTACACTAAATAGAGTCGCAACCAAGAAATGGTGACAAAATCGAAACAACATATAAATTTGCTGACAAACAGTTAAAAATTGAAATTATCGGCATATTTCTACACTAAACTTGATAGGATTAAACATGTTTACCTTCAATAATCGAGATAATTCGAATTTACCTTCACTATTCAAACTATATCATTTTGACCTAACGGGTATCTAAATTTGACTCAAATTATGGTCGTTTCAGCATGATTCAGTTCACTACTTCTTTCTCTTATTTACATTGAGAAGGCTTCTAAAGTTAGCCTCAAATTATTTGCCCTAGTCAGATCGTGATGTCAAGTACTCAAGTTGGCTAATGAAAATAAAGCATAACATAGAGAAAATAAATGAATAAATTAAATACAAATCAAATCTTATCCTCCCTCCCATTCATTTCTTCTCAACATATTTGAAAGCCATTGGAATTCCATGAAAAATGGAATTTCAATTTCATCTTCTATTTTTCCATTGTTTGATAGCATTTATTTTCCCTAAAATTCATTTTCTCACTTTGTTGCCACTCAGCCAAAGTCCAATATTTTTGATGTATTTGAATTCTCACCAAAATGGTGAGAATCCATTTTCCCGATAACTATAGCGATTTTATACCAAAAATAGATGATTTTTTTTGTTTTTTTTTCAATTGAAACAAATCATATCTCTAATATCAGTAAATTTATCCCTTTAGTTGATAATTTTCATGTAAAATAAAGTTAAACGAACATCAAAAAATACTTTTATTTCAACGTTTTTCACTTAAAAAACTATATCAATCAAATACAATAAATTAACAATTTATAGGTAATTCAATTTTCTGAAATTCGTTTCCCCCCCTCCCCCAATTCATCTCTGCAATCAAACGGATCCTAATTAATTGAAAATATTAAAATAATCTTTACAATAAAGAAGATAAATCGCGCATGATGTAGTGTAACATCAATCAAATTAACCAACATATCTTAGTCAAAAGAAGAAATTTATTATATACCTTGGAGATAAAGGGATTTTCCTCTACAACCTTCAGAAGTCCCTCATCAGTAACTTTCACGCAGTTCTTCAGAGACAGAACCCTTAGCCGGCCATTTGCTTTCGACGTAACCTTCATCAGAATATCATCTGAAAGACCCTTGTTCAAAGGCGGTTCGACTACTACGCTAAGCCATGGCATATTATTGTTTATAGCATCCCTAAGTGATTTGCAGACTTGACTCATCGAAACAAGCTCAAAAACAGGAAGAAAAGCTAAGACAAAGAAAAGGGCTTCTTGTGGTGGACCTGATTCAGAACAAGTACTCATGGTTTAATGAAATGAATATGACAGAGAGGGATATATATTTATGAATATGATAATAAAGAAGTAGGGCAAGTTGAGTATGGAAATTTAGAGTGATTTTGAGAATTGATTTTTTGACTGTTAGGAGAAAAGTGAGGTCTATCTATGAGAGAAGAAGTCAAATATAACGAATAAAATAGTGAAATAATAATTAAAAAATTAATTTTTTGGATGAAAAAATCGGGTCAAACAGGCCCTTAGCGAAATTGTGACATGCACTACAGTGTACGGTGCAGCCGTGCAGGTACTACGGCCTACATATGTTTGAAAATGGCTCTACTATTTAATGAACATTTTCTCTTTGTTGGTTTGTTGGGGTAGTTGGGAAGGCAGAAAATATTTACAATTTGTCACAAATAATTACACTTGCAAAGTTCTAGGTTCCCTTACCTTGTCTCAATATGGTCTTGGTCTTCGGTCCCAATCTGATCGAAGAAAAGTGGTTGAACTTTGGGAGCAAAGACACTCTCATTATGTACCATTTTATGGTCATTGGTGATTTCACTTTTTTTAATTTGGTATAAACGGTGATGTTCTGGAACCTAGAGCTCCCAAGGTCACTATTCCTTGAACAGGGGCTTTTGAGAGGGGTGGGATGGCTACACCTGACTGCATTTTTTTTCTTTATTTTATTTAATCGTATGTTAACACAGGTTCTCACGATTTTTGAGCCTATCACTGTGACAAGATTGAACAATTTTCATTTTTACTTGAGGATTGATTTGAAACTCAATTTCTTTAAAAGACATGGAATAAAATTGAATAACTAAAAATTGACAATTTTTAGCAACCTTCCGCAGGAAAAAAGAATGATTGGACCATCAAACAACAATAAAATTAGACGAAATTTAAACCCAACAATAATAATATATTTATATACAAATACCTTTCTATAAAATTTCATACTTCATCTGTCCCATAAAAATAGACTTGTTTTTCTTTGTCGTTTGTCTCAAGTTATAGGCCTTTCTTGTTAAGAGTATAGTTAATTTTTTTAATTTTCAAATATTATTCTATTTAATGTGTATATTAAAAAAATGTAAGAAAAATTATATTTTCAATTAAAAGAAAATTTATTTTTACGTGACAGATGGACTAATAAAATGAGGTTAAAGAGTCGTCAAAATTGGTTGAAACTACAGCTCCCCTCGTGCCAAACTTTTCCAATTTTACCTTGGCTCCATGACTTGTCAAATTGAAGCATATTTCAATCTACTATATTAAATTTTGAGGAAATTTCATTGGGTGTCAAAATTTGGCTATGCATTATCAAAAATTCACATTTCAAATTTTCTATCAAAAATGTCAATTTAGGACATTTTTGACCCTATGAATTATTTGAATGCCTTATATATCCTTGTACAAAACCTGTGTATTGTGTCAGAATGAAATGACAATATGTCAGACTGAAATGACAATATGTCGGAATGAAATGACAGCATAGCTTTTAAATCGCTTAACATTGAACTGTCGTTCTCGACATTTAGCATCAGTAATTCTCGACAGATGGACTCATCGACAGATCAATTGAAGTTTTCGACAGATGAACTATCGGGAACGACAATTCCTTCCTTTACCTAAGCTCAGTTCCACAATTTGAACTTTGGTTCTAACATTGCACGTATGTTTCGCATTAACATGTAGGAAATGCTATGATCTCATAATTTGTTGATTGATTCGTAGTTGTTTATGCTTGATTGATTCATTCATTTTCCATGTTCCAGTTTCAGTGGTTTGTTTCGTATTTTTTGTTTATTGTGCTTGATTGATGAATTCATTTTCACCTTGAAATGCTATTTTGGCTGCCCACATGAAGTGGTTAGAGATCCATGTGCACGAGGACGATTATGACAAATTACGTTCATCAATTGACTTACATGATAACTTTGATCATATTGATGTTATTATTACTTATTTATCTATAATGTATGACTGCTTTTCACATTACTGGGGTCACAAGAGAAACAATGAATTTATATGAGATACGCGATGGTTGATCATCGTTCAACGTTGTTGGATGAAGTCAGAATATTTGTTAATGCGTAGTCTTATTCTTCATAGTTCTATGTTCGATAATTTAATCACCGACACATACTTCGACTTGGGTTTGGTAAGGCTGCTACCGCTGTGTAGTATGATTCAAATGCAGATGAAAGCCGGTTTGGGAAGGTCGCTACCACTTAACATTTGCATAAATCTTTTTGGTATTTTTTTCCCTTCAAAAATATTTCAAAAATGAGGAACATCATTATTATTAGTAGTTTCAAAAGCATTCTTCACTTTGATGATCATCTTGTTTTTATCATTTAAAAAAGAGTAAACTATTCGATAAAAATAAAAAATAATTCGTAATAACTAACCTCTCAAAATGGATGATGAATCTAATATATATATATGCAATGATTATAATATATAAATTTAACTAATCAAATCATAACATTAATTGAATTGGAACATAGCATTAAATGCTCCTAAAAGGGGACATGAAGCGTAAGTTGGACATTTCCACAAAAAAAAGTGACATTTTTGATAAAATTAGGTGTACATGCAAATTTTTTATGCATCTTCAAAAAAAGTGACATTTTTTATAATTCTCCTTAAATTTTTAGTTGGTTTTTATAAAAAATTGATAAAATATGTGGTTAAAAAAATATAAATTCCGTAAAATATGTAGTTAAAATTAGTTATTGAATGTAACTTTAATTAAAAGCTAAATTTTTATTTCTTTCAAACAAGGCTAAACGAAGGCTAAGTCTATGAAATTGATGTTGAAGAAAATCTTATTTTACACTATTTTATCATTTTTGCAAAAAACTGATTTATGGTGTAGGTTAAGTCTCAATTTTGGGTGTTCTTAGATGCTGTTTGACAATCATTATTAGGAGAAAATAGAGTTTTGAATAATAATTTTTAGGAGAATACATGATTAAAAATAGAAAAAAAATTAGATTTACATGGAGAGTAAATTTAATCAATGCTCACTCAACTTCAATTTACATTACTACTTGCTCACCGAACTATAAAATATAACTTGTTGCTCACTCATCTCTCCAAATACTTACACATCCATCACCCATTTAATTTCCGTCAATTTCGATGAACGGAATGTGCCACGTGTTGGACGGAAAGTTGACGTGGCAGGTAACAAACATTAAATCAGTCCAACTGGGCCACAATCGTTAAAATCCCATAACAAATGAAAACCTATTCGGTGGTAGAGCCAAAAACACAACAAAATATGAGAAAATGAAGATATTTGAGAAATGAAAATTCATAGGATTTAAGAATCCCATATTCTAACCCAACCAATGCTAAAAGGAAAAACTGAACTAGTAAAGAAAATGTAAGAGGTGGTCTTTCTTTCTTATAGAAGACATCCGTTGACACCAGCATCTTAGCCATAACAAGAAAATCGTTGATTCTTCATTATACTCCACGTCTACATTGGGTCCATTTATCAAGAATTCTGAACAATTTTTCTTGTAGCCATGATCATATGGGTTTCTGAATCGTCCCTAGCTCCTCTGTTGTAATGTTGCGGGCAATCCGTGAGAGGAATGGAATGTCAAAAACCGTTAAACACAAGCAATCCGAGATCAAATTCAAGATTTAGTTGGGATTTTGGGGGCGATTTCTAGGGTTCCAAGTTGGGGAAGAATTTGTTTTCCTTCTTTGAGGCTTCTTTAGAGAAAACGGTTTTTATTTGTCATGGGATTTTGTCCAGTTGGACTAATTTAATGTCTGTTACATGCCATGTCAAATTTCTATCCAACACGTGGCACATTCCATTAATTGAAGTTGATGGAGATTAAATGGGTGATGGATAGGTAAGTATTTTAATAGATGGGTGAGCAACAAGTTATATTTTATAGTTTGATGAGCAAGTAGTAATATATGCTTGAGTTTGATGAGCAATGATTAAATTTACTCTTTACAAGGATAATATTTTATTGTGTGAATATGTGGTTAAAAATGAATATATTGAAAAATGAATTTAGAAACAATAATTTGTGAAATGGGGACATAATATCTTTGCAAAAAGTTTTCATAGTCAAATCCTGCCCAACCCACGGATCAAAGAAGAGTTTTGCTACTCAGATAGGGGCAGTTGACAAGATTAAAAAATAGGTGCTGCATGTCAGCACCTATTTGCCTCTTCTTTTTTTAACCGTCCAATGAACACTTAACACGTGTCTTCCTATTTTTAGGCCACTCACCTCAACCGTTTGTCATGATGTTTAACATGCAACTTCTCTCCTTTTTTCCCCTTTAATAGTTATCTTAGTACGAAATTGGTACTTTAAAATTGTTGGAAATGGTTCGTTATTAGTGTGAGGCCCAATTTTAGTGGTCCATATGTCAATTTTAACGGGACCAAACATTTTTACGTTCTACTCCACAAGATAATTAACATGATATATTTATTTATCAAAAGCTATTTAGAATTGAATGAAATATTTGATGTTAAAGTAACCTACTTGTAACTTTAAACAAGTGATAAATTTGATTTATTGAAAATTGTCAAACACTTGTCCCACATAAGAAAGTTATGGAACTTTGGTGTGGTTTATATAGTGAAAAGTTTGGAAACTGGGTTTGGATTCCAAGGGGTACCAACAGATTTTGAAAAGGGGAGACCTATATCCTATTGGGCTCAGTCCTAAGCCCAACGCGTGTGCACATCGCTGTCACTGTTCGACCAGCATGTGCCTACGTCCGAGTGCAGTTTGTGTTCAGGTATGGGTACATCGTTTTACTATATTAACTTTTGGACAAAACTTAGTTAAAATTTTAGGGCAAATTATAATTAATAAAATATTTAGGTATTTAATGAAATTAATTTTGATTGATTTATTTTTGAGTAAATTTTTTGTCTGAATTGTCTGTTAACCGACATAACAGACATCTGTTTACTGACTTAATAGACGCAGCACTTAACAATGCTGTCTATTTGAGTTTGGGGTCTATCTAAACAGTGATG